TGTGCTCTAAATCACCATGTGTGTGTATGTGTGTGTGTGTGTGTGTGTGTGTGTGTGAGTGTACATGGACAACATTGATCTGATAACTATTTTTTTTTCTTATGTTGAGTGTGAAAGTAGAATTAGGGATGTGGACTCTGTTGTAAGAGAAGAGGAATTGAGCCAAGGTCACATTTCCCCAAGACAGAGAACCTTGCTCCCTTGGCCAAGCTTGAGAAGGGTTAGGGGCCAGAAGGAAGCAGTGCATCTCCAGGTCACTGAAAAGAGGCTTTTCACCTCAGGAGAGAAATACAGCGCTGTGAAGACCTGGAAACCAGGGCTAAAGACCCTGAAGCATGAGGAACGTGGTACAAAATGTGGGAAGTAGAAGGATCGCCCACTTCCGTGTGGAGGCTTCACGTGGAGACTCGTATGCTCACACTGTATGTAGAACAAGGAGGAAGTGACGATCTCCTCCAAGGGAGTAAGGACAGCATCAACTGTGACAGGTTGTGCTGATTGCCTATGGCACAGGCTCGGGGTGCAGGAACAGGTTTGTCTTCTCTGCCAATTAAGGAATTAAAAGGCAGGAAAAGTTTGAAAGTCAAGCAAAGCCAATATTCCAAGAGGACAATTTTATTAGTTCAAAAGATGTGCTGCATCCATGCATGGCTCCAGGGGCCTGCATCTGACTGGGGCAGAGATAGGATCTACATGGCTTGGTAAGTGTTGGTTTTGGTTTAAAGATGTTTTGATGTAAACGTTGGGAAAAAGAAAAAAACCTATTTGACATATTTGTTTTTTTTTTTCTGGAGGTTAAGGTTGGAGGGTGGGAATAACCTGTTTGTTAGTATGGAAAACACGCCTCCTCCAAGACCACTGTTCCTCCAACAAGGCTACGCCTCCTAATAGTGCCACTCACTATGAGCTTCTGGGGACCAAATACACACAACAGCATAGGCAATTATTAGGAAGTTCAAATGGAAACAGGGAATGAAAACCAGGATCTCTGCAAATGAGTTGGTATCTGGAGGAGAGCCCAAATCCACATCAGTCTCTAATAGCTGTGGCCACCAAACTCTAGATGCTGATGTGTAGTGCTCTAAATGAGGAATGTCCCCATAGTCTTGGGCATTGGAATACTAGTCGGTGGCAATCTTTGAGAGGTGGCCTTGCTGGAGCAAGAATGTCACTGGAGATGCGTTTTGAGAATCTGAAGATTGACACCATTGCTTGCTCACTTTGTTTCCTGCTGGTGGCTTATGGTGGTTTGAATAAGAATAGCCCGGAAGCTCATATATTTGAATACTTAGTCACCAGGGAGTAGAATTCTTTGAAAGGATTAGAAGGATTAGGAGGAGTGACTTTGCTGGAGGAAGTGTATCCTTGGGGGTGGGTTTTGAGGATTCAAAAGCCCATGCCAGGCCCAGCCTCAGTCTCTCTGTCTCTCTCTCTGCCTGCTGCCTAAGGATCAGGGTACAGCTCTCAACTACTTTTTCAGGACCATGTCTGCCTGCCGTGCCCGCTTCCATACCCCCCCCCACGATAACAATGGACTAAATATTTGAAACTTTAAGCAAACCCTCAGGTGCTTATTTCCTCAGAGTAGCCTTAGTCCTGGTGTCTCTTCACAGCAGAACAGTAACTAAGTGGTGGTTCAAGATGAGAGCCCTCCGCTCCTGCTGCTTGCGGCCATGCTTCCCTGACAAGATGGGACCTTATCCCTCTGGAGTCACAAGTCCAAATAGACCCTTCTTTCTATAAGTTACCTTGGAAGTGTTATTTTATCACAGCAGTAAAGGAATAGGTGGCACACAGGTGGCACCAAGGAGTGGGCTATTGCTGTGACTGGCCTGGCCATGCTGTTTTGTTTGTTGAGGAATTTGGAAGACATTAGAACTTTGGACTAGAAAAAGTAGTTGAATGATGTAATCAAGGCTTCAGGAGTAGAAGCCTAGCAGACAGTGCTAAGAATAATGCAGACTGTTGTGGGCTGGGCTGGGTGGGTACAGCCTAAGAGATTTCAGAGGGGAACAATATTAGCAACTGGGCTAGAATCATTCCTTTATCGTGGTATTTTGGAAAGGAATGTGTCTTCTTTGTGCTCCTAAGAACCTACTTAGGGCTAAATCTAAAAACAATGTACTGATTTCTGTGGCTGAGGAGATTCTGAGAGATCCTAACGTTGAGTCTGCAGTGTGGTTATTAGTAATCACTCCTATGTAGGTCTGCAACAAAAAGGAGCAAATGGTGCAGAAGGATACACAAATGAGCATTTTAAAGAGAGCAAGAGCACCAGGGACTGTAACGTCACAGCCACGGATTGTGCAGAAGGGGACAGAAGATCAAGAAGAGCCTGGATCCCCACTAGAATAAAGGGAAGAGAACCCTAGGGCAAGAACCCACCCATCTAAGCTTCCAACTTATGAAAGGAAAAGGCCTAAGTGCCTATGAAATAACAACCAACAAAAGCTTCTGACAAGGAGACTCAACAGGGCCAGGGCCCATTCTAACCTGGTAGCTGAAATTGGCAGTGTCATGAAGGTTAAAGGGCCATAGTAATTTCAGATTGTCGCTGAGGCCAGGCAACCTGTGGCAGGGAAGTCCCTAAGAAAAGCTCCTGAGAAGGCAAGGAACTTTGAAATATCATTGTCTGATGTTGTGGAAGTGACGCCTCAGTTGTGTTGGAGATCCAAAGATATGGGAGATGCCAGGTATATGAGGCATCTGCCACTCAAGCCTGTAATAGCCTGACACTCAGCATCAGTGGTGGCATTATCCCTCTCCAGCTGACTTCCATCTGGTTCCTTGTCTTGTCTCCACCTCCATATTTTGTACTTTTTAAAAGTTCTTGCCTCTTTAGCCTTTTAAAACCTTTCTGCAACCTGCACATATATTTGCAACACACACACACACACATACACACACACACACACACACACACGCACACACACCACACTAAATACTAAAAAGTTGATGTCTGTCTGTCTGTCTCTCTATCTAATCTATCTATCTATCTATCTATCTATCTATCTATCTATCTATCTATATCAATCAGTCTATCTATCTATCTATCATCATCATCCTCTCTCTCTCTCTCTCTCTCTCTCTCTCACACACACACACACAACATACAGTGTTTTATTTTTGTTTTACTCTGTGTTTTTATTTTGCAGAACTTTCCTAGCCAAACTGCCACCATCTTCAGTTCTCAGCCTGTGGACTCTTTACCTTCTCCTAGAAGGAGGAGATGGGAGGGTTATGGGACCTTCACCTGAGTATCCAGCTTCTGGTGCTAGGTTACAGATTGTAAACACATGTAGCAACTCAAAACTTTTGAACAGCTACAATTAGCCACCCAAAGAATGTGTCTTGGTCATGACTAAATTGAAGCAGTCAGTTCTTGGCAATTTGTATGAATGGCCTTTGTGGGAACTTCAGAATCATTTTAAAATTCTTCTGTTAGCTGCATTCCTATTGTCAAGTCTAATGCTTTAGTGAGGTGTCGTGGTGTGCCCCTACTGTCCCAGCATTCAAGAGGCTGAAACAGAAGAAGTGCTGTATGCCTTCATTCCGTTACTGTATTGTCTAAGGTATTGCATAATCTCTCGGGGTCTGGATTGTCTTTTTTTAAAATAAAAACACAGAAGCCTCGGGAGAGATCAGGGACCCTCAGTTTTGATGTATTCCAGCTGTAATCATAGCTTCACATTCTGAGCAACACTGGTAGGTCACAAATTGGGTAGCAGATGTGGAAGAGGTTCAGCAGTCACCTGGCTCAGTCTTGATGTATGCCAAGAGGGGCTGTGTGTTCTCTAAGATATCCCCTGTCAGCAAGTACCTGACTAACTCTGGTTTGTGGAAGGCTTTATTTTTTTTAAATTCTAACCTGTATTGACCCAGACTAAGTTATATCTGCTTTGCAAGTCTGAAAACTATAAATTGTTTCTTTATAAAGTGATTTCATGGTCATGATGACAGTATTTGAGAGAATCGACCCATAAGGATATGGGTTGGTGTTGTACAAAAATAAAACAAAATAAAGAAACAAGATTTTGATGTGTTTTGAAAATGTATATGAGTATTTGAATCCATGGGAGATCTTTTAAGACATACTGATTGTTGTGGATTGTAAAACATGGCCACAATCTAAGCCTTCTCTTGGTGATGTGATTTCTTCGCTAAGGAGTTGTCCCATTTCTCCCTATGAATCTGGGATGGACTTTCATTTCCTTCAGTCAATAGGATACAACAGAAGTGACTTTACCAGGTTCACATTTGGGCCCCAAGGAGCTTTGGGTGCTTCCTTTGTCAAGACAAGCTCAGCTAGCTGGGAGATAAAAAATTAGACTTGTCCAAACTAATGGCACCCTAATCTAGCCAGGCCCCAGTGAAACAGAGAACCAATGGCAGATACATGAGTGAGCATAGCCAAGATCAAAGATCACTCAGTTGGGATAAACTCAAGCTGTCAACCATTAGAACTGTGAGCTATATATTTTGGCAGAATCTAGATGCACTGTGAGGCTTCCCAGCTCCATGTATGTTTGCCTGTGTTTTGATTCTTTCATAGGTGACAATCCTCTTTTTGAGTTGTTACATGTGATCTCATAATCATAGCAAGGCTGGATAGAACAGGCCATCTTTCAAGTGTTAATGGGTGAAGTATAAGGAAACTGACAGGCACCCCTTTTGTGACTGATAACAAAAATGACAGGTTAGTTGATCATAGAATGTGCTGTGTGTCCTGAACCAAGTAGAATAACTTTGCTGTCTCTGTGAAATGGTAATAAGAGGAATGATACTTAGTCCTTTCAATCAAAATAGAAAGAAGGTCCTGCAAGATGGCTCAGCTGGTAAAGGTACTTGTAGTCAAGCCTGAGAACCTGAGTTTGATCTCTGGAACCTGTATGCTGGAAGAACACACACACACACACACACACACACACACACACACACACACACACACACACACAGATAGAGAGAGAGATAGAGAGAGAGAGAGTGCAACTGAGCCATGATCAATGAATTAAAGCAGTTTATTTGACATTAATTGTAGAATTTACAGCACTACCATTTCATGATAGGAATAAAAATGGAAATAATCCAGTGTAAGCAGTGTTGCAGACCCATACATCAGGGTGGGAAATGAGCCGTTTTGAAAATGCAATCAACATTCAAAGAAATCTGTCTTCCAAAAAATAAAGTACTGGGGACTTATGGAGGGCTGAGCATATGATGAATATAATGAATACTCATTCTCAATAACGAAGCATGCTCCTCACTCTCACCAGGATTTCAGGGCAGCCACTGAATAGATATACCCTGCTGACCATCCCTGGAAAATCTTTCAGCCCATTGTGTCTTACTGTGTGGCCTGGAAACACAACTCAGGGAGGAAAGAAGACTGTGATGGGCACTGGAACTTTGTTTCAAAATAGGAGGGACTATGTTTTCATGGTTTTCAACACAAGAGGGCTTGATTAAAGGGACTTAAAGGAGGTAGATTAAAATAAAGTTTCCCTCCTCTAGTTTCCTGGAGATAATGGTTTTGTACATGACTGGAGTCTCTTGGCCTCTCTGAGTCTAGCTGAAGATCCATGACAAGGAGTTGGGTTTCCCCTAAAGGGTTAGAGTCCTGGAATGGCCACCCAGGGCAGGAAACAGAGCCAGGACTCTATCAAGGAGGTCCCTACTCCACAGCCACACCCCTCCTCCATAGCCACACCCTTGTGACATCATAGATCTCCTCCATTTCCAAACTTTAAAAAGAGGTGGGGCTAATTCTTTACCCCTCTCTTTTCTTTCACGACAGTCACCTTTAAATGGCATCATAAAGCAACCAAAAGACTAGAAGGAAGGACTAAGGGCACACAGGGACAGCATGTGAAATTAAATAGTGTTTTTTTAAACCAAGAGTAAACATACTGGGGACCGAGGAGTTGGATCATGAGAACAAAACTGGATAAAAGAAAATATATTGGAACTTGTTTTTACTTCTCTTTGGTGGGAGCAGTAAGAATTCACTGAGCAAGAACAGAACAATTCTAAGGATCTATGCTAAAAAAGCACTGGCCTGGTAGAACCAAAGGGGGCAGGGAGGCCTGGCTCATTCTTTGTAACCATACTGAAGCACTTTCTTTGAGAAAATGCAGCCCAGAACTAACTAGGATATTGGCCAGTACCTGAGTCCCCTGGTTCATGCAATTCTATGATATCACGGGTTTGTAGAGAAGACACTGAACTGTTTGGGGGACTGAGGGGGAAAAAAAGATTTGTTGATTGGACAGGGGGATTAATAGGAACCTAATAAGATGCTGTGGTACCACCTCAGGTGTGGCACCACCTCAGCTCCAAACTTCTTAAGCCTAAAGCTTGTGTTCTTGTTCTGGGAAATCCAATGAGTCAGATGTCTTATAACCTTTCATGACAGGCTACTGGCTCACATTGTTTGGGCTTGTATGACACAAAAACACAGCAAAAAAAAAGTGGGGGGGTTGTATTTTACCTTTCAGGAACTTTTCTAATTATGTGACTATCTGTTAGCTAGGTAGCCTGTGCTTATTCCCCTCAGATCACAGACTCCCTGACCTTATCTGAAAAAGAACCTAGGTAGTAAACTGAGTCAAGCTAAATGTCAAATGTAGTCAAAGTAAGGGAAACAGAAGAGTAACCCAAGTTTTACAACCATTTTGCAAAGGTCTTTCAAGCAGAAATAACATAGTCATCGGTGGGCCGGATTTTTTGGTAGACTCTGTAGTTGTGGTTCAACTAACTCCTAAACACAGTCCACAGTATGAGTAACCTGCCTGGTCCCTCTGAGATACTACAAGACGACAAAGAATCTCTTTTTCTCACTTGCACACTTTCAGATCTAAGAATTGTGAAGCTACCATCACTTGAAAATGATACCTTTGATTCTTAAGGAATTGCCTCAAAAAAACGATAGATGTGATAAGCGGTATGCAGAGGGTGGCTGGGAAGTCTACGGATAGCACGAGGCCCCTCCTGGCTTGAGTGAATAGCAGAATCCCTTGCCCGAGTCGAGATGGAAGAAAGTCCTTCAGTGAAGGCCCAGGCTTCCCCTGGGTGGAGCCTGGGGTGGGTGGCTATTTAATGGCTCACCGAAAATGCAAGATCACCAAGTTCCCTCCCTTCCCTTTCCTGTATGAACTGGGATCTGCCTTTATGCCTGCCGGGGTATACTCATGAGTTCTGAGAGAGGTGGCGGGGTCCTGAGAGACTGAGGCTGGAAATTTTGGGCCCAGGCCTCTTGAAAGCTGATAGACATGGAGATCTCTCCCTAGGGCTCCAAACCTACCTTCTAAGGCCAGGCATTAGTATTTATTTCCCAGGCCAGTTCCACACACTTTCACAGGAGGAAAATCCAGGCCAAGTAGAGGTAATTCTGTGGTTCTTGTGTTTCCAAGGAAAAGGACATTCATTGGCACAAAGATTGAGTAAAAACCCTTTAATAACAAAATAACATTCACAATGTAGCTACTTCAGTTGTCTGGAAAACTCAGCTTACACTTGATCCAACGTATCACTTTCCACAGTTTAAAAAAAAAAGGAAATAAAACAGCATAACAAAATATACCTCAAATTTCATAAGACAAGTCTTCTTGGCAAATTCTAATGAGCCAGACCCTGTGTTGCTTGTAGTAAAGAAGGCCAGGCATGCTTGCGTCTCACACACCCCTTGTCTGCTTTGGATCAAAAATGCATTAGAACGTTGTAGATACTATAACATGTGCATCATGAGGAACAGTGTGCAGGCTTGTGAGTGTGCAGAGAGCTTATGGAAACAAAGAGTGACTTGACTTATTGCAGAAGAATATGTAAAGCTTTCCGGAAGATTAAACACTATTACAATCAACAACTGACTTACAAAAGCAGATTTTAAAGTTCTTGTGTCCATTTCCATCTTTGGCAGATTAGTGAAAGGAAACAAACAAACAAACAAAAAGACTACATTACAAAGCTTTCATTATCACAACCTACTTGTAAGGCCGTTCCTTTGCATCATTAATGAAAGAGCATCTCTAACATACTCACTGACAGACACACATGCAACGCTCTGCTGTCTGTTGTTGATTTCCAGTACTCTACACGGCAGACTGCTGTGTCCCCACCATTGTTTCCTCATCTTCATTCTCTTCTGCAGAACTGCAGATCTTGGCAGTTGCTTTGGCTTTATGGGGGCATGCTAGTGTAGGAAATAGGTGTGAAACTCAAGAATGGATCTCAGAACCCAAATATAAGAATATGTCTGCCCAATCCAGTGGGACAGAAAATACTTGTTGAGATAGAGAGAACTCCAAGGCTGGGGAATTCAAACCAAGATGGTTTTCCTCAATCGGTTCTTAAAATTCTTATACTCCCCTTTAAAATATAGGTATAACTTTGTAAAAAGGAATCTAGAGTCATTTCTGACTCTAAGGAAGAAAAGTACTACAGGGCCACATGAATGAATGTTTGGGGAATGACCATATATTTTCACCCAAATAACTGGTGAGGTCATCTGTGAGAGTGTTCCAAAAGGCCAGAGATGAGTTACTGATATCAGCGCTACATGCATTTCAACTGGAGACTGACAACAGAAGCCTAGAAGAAGCTGGCCCCCATGGGAAAATCCAGGAAAGAGAGACCTAGATGAATTAGCATTGTTGTATAGATGACCCAATAGGTCTGAGGTCATGAACATAAAACTAAAACTCCTTTTAGTGGAAATTAAAAATGCAGAGGTGAGTTGCTCTCTACCGCTCGCTTTCAACTCTCTCAGATATAGTGATATATCTGGGTCACGAGGATCCCAAATTATGGGGTTCGAGTAAGCTAACTCCAACTTGGATGACTTTTCTCATTATACAATTCAAACCCGATTCAGTCTGACTCATTTTTAAATCCCAGCAGATGTAAAAGCATTTTCAAGGTAATACATCTCCCAAGAAAACCAGTATTATCACTGTCTGAGGCCAAACTGTGTACATTTTTCACAGTTTAATGTATACACAACTGTTCACGACTGCTAACAAATGATAGACGCCCATGCATAAATAATGTTCATTGAACCAAAGGGGAGGATCTAGTACAAATGAAAAATGTTGCTATTAAGACCACAATGCATCACACTGCTAAATTTTTAGCTCCATGCATAAAATTATAGCACTGATTGGCAGTTGCTAATTATAATATTACACTGTTAACACAGAACAATTAGCACAAATGTAGAAAATAATTTTTTTTCAACAGAGCAAATGAACACAGATTGTTTCTTCAGCAAAATATGAAACTGTAAACTTTGGGCTCATTCTGCAACTTTCCCCAATCCAGAATAAATAAAATCCAAAGGGGGAGAAGAAAAATAAAAAGAACATACATTTTCTTCTTAAGCGCACATTTTCATCTATTACAAAAGCACAACCTAAACTGTATAAAGCTTTTTTTCTTTTTTCTTTTTTTAAATCACAGTTACCAAAAGAAACAGTGAATAATTTATTACATACGCTATAATAACATTACTCTAAACACTATTATCTATGAGGTATATCTGAGAAAATTCGGTAAGGAATTGCGCGGTCTGCATTGCCAACATGCCCAGGTTCATATTAAAGCTCTGGAACCGTGAGGGACTAGAAAAGGGGGCAATGAGGGGAGGCAGAAGGAAGAGACGTAGAGAAAGAACCTTTGGTATTAGTACAACTCTTGTTCTTTGCAGGGTTGCATTGCAAAGCACCGCAGTACGATAAAGCCCACCAATTTACTGTATGGAGGCCCAGTTGAAGCTGAGGTATTCACAGGAAGGATTTAAAAAAGCACAGAGAGGTCCAGACTGGCTAAATCGTTGCTTTGGTTCAAGCAAGGCACTCGTCCCGTGGTTATGTCACACTTTGCAAGTGAAGCATGAGGCTGGGGGAGGGGGGGTTGCTGAAGAGGGGTCTGCCAATTGAGATGTTTTCTGTGTCCAGGCTGCCATTGCTCTTTCTGGGTTCTCTCTCCTAGGGGCTCAGTGATAGGAAGGCCGGGAAGGTGATGTTGTTTAAGGGACCTACTCTGCTGCTTGGTGAATTTGTTGTCTCCCAGGTATCCTGAGAAAGTTCATTTCCCATTGGAATTTGGTGATCAGCTGCTTGGAAAGAAGGCCTTGCAGGCTTGCCTTGTCTACAGAGGACATGAAGTTTTAGTCCCATCTAGATGGTAAAGGATGTTCACATATGCCAGGATGGAGCTTGCAAACTTCAGAAAGAAGATAACTGGCTGGACATAGTGACTCACAATTGTAGTCCCACCACTATGGGACATACAGGCAGGAGGATTGGGCGTTCAAAGTCATCCTTATCTATACAATTAGTTTAAGGCTAGCTTGGACCACAAAAGACCCCGTCTTTTAAAAAGCAGAAGCTAGGTGGTGGTGTCGCTTGCCTTTAGTCCCAGCACTAGGGAGGCACAGGCAAGAGGATCTTTGAATTTGAGGCCAGCCTGGTCTGCAGAGTGAGTTCCAGGAAAGCCAAGACTGTTTGGGAAAAAAAAAGGAGGAGGAAGAGGAGGAGAAGGAGGAGGAGGAGGAGAAGGAGAAGGAGGAGGAAAAGAGAGAAAGGATCTGTGTTTCATAGTATATAATTCTGTTATAAATTCTTCTATCAGCTATACTCTGTTGGTGTATTGGACTGATGAGTTAATTGATCTTCCCTTCTTAGCTTTAGCTAATAGTCTCTTTAAAAGCTCAGTGATAACTATTATGTGAAACATAAAATCACAGTATTCAATAAAGAGCTCTGTAGACTAGCAATAGGAACTGGTATGTGCCTAAATCCCACTTGAGTAAAAGCTAAAAAGGAGTCACCAGCCAACATTCCAATCACATTGGTGAATTATCTTAATAGTGACTTAGTCATTTAATAGAATCTAAAGAAACTTAAAGGAGACTAATTAAGTTTTGAGAAGGGAAAAGGGACATTAGTAATTTCACATAACCATTATTTAAACTGGTATATCCATTCTTCTGATATTGGGATAGTTTTCACTTACAAGGAATACATCTCAGCATCACACAATGTAAGGCTTACTTTTAGCTTGTACATAGAATTAATCTAGAAAATAAATAGGAACACTCTTAGGTAAAAAGAAAACAAACAAACAAAAGAGCGTACAGCTAAAATATCCTACCAGAAACGATAATCAAGTTCCCTTGCTTGATAAATACTGACTTTAGAATAGTCATAGAAATTAAGCTCAATGAGTCGAGATTCAGTTTTTTCCTTCCACTGGTTACAAGCTTATTTATTAAAAAATTTTGAAGGTCTGGTTCAAAAGCCATCTTACTATTTGGGTCAATATGCTTCCCCTGAGTGAACCCTCCAAGTTCAAGGCTGGCCATATTACTAAGCAACAGATCATGCATGATACTGGATACATAATGTAAGATGTAGATACCTGGAGAGTATTCTTAAATGATGATTAATCCTTTAAGCTACTAGTCCTATTAGAATTAATCCATAAGCTACAGTTTCTGTTCATTGCTAAAGAATTACCACCTTCCTACTTGACAGCATGTGACCAATGTCAGACCAAATCCACAGAGCATCACAGAATAGGCAGGATATAGGACCTGGAGCCAGGAAGCAAGGATTGGCTTCAGCTCTGGGGTTAGGGGCTTAGATAACTACTTCAGCCTGGTCACAGTCGGGGATGGGGTGGTGACTGAATGTGTCCTAAGGTCCCTTCTAGCCCTCCCATTCAACGCTTCTTTCTGTAGTTGCAGTAGCTCGGCACTTTCACCTGTGACAGCTCCAGGAAACAGAGGTCACAGCTAGGCCTGCAGGCCACCTCCAAGCAGTCTTCTGCACCAAACTGGACCTGGAACTTTACAGAATCCAGTGACAGCAGCATCCCATCTTGCATCCTGAACATGTGGGAGGGGGCAGCAGGCAAATGCAAGAGACACAGAAAACTTCCCTTTCCAGGTCAGCAGCCACCTTCGCACACATCATTGTTTCTTTGGGGTGTCTGAGCTGTGGCTGTACATACCGTATGTCAGAAAGAAGAGTTCAAATCATAAAAGAGCACAAGCAAAATGCAGACCGCACAAGAAAGGAATCTTTGGTATCTTTGGTGTCATCAACACGATTAAAATTACAAATGGAAAAAGTCAGTGAGGTAGCCTTCTTTGGTTCTCACTACAAATAGAAAAGTTTTTCCGTTTTTTTTCCTTTTTTTTCTGCTTTTTTTCCCTTTTTGTTTTGTTGCTTTACACGCACACTGAGTTCTTTCTTGGAAGCAGCTAGTGTAAGGGTTCACTCTTTTTGGTTTATGATTTTTTTTTTAATTTATGTTTCCAGTTTCCACATAGAAGCCCCAAAATCCGGGCTGGTGATGTTGGATCTCAGCTCGAGTGTTCTGAAGCAGGATCAGGCTGAGCAGTCACTGCTTGTCCACAAATCTGCTCTGTTGTTCTGACAGCAAACAAACTGCAGTGCTCTCTGTTGTTTTAAATAACAAACACAAACTATACAGCGCATCTGTCACAGATGCCGAATAAGTTAAATAAATAAATTACGCTAGAAAGGCTCTGAGGGCCCCAGTAATTAAGAGGTGAAGTTCGCCTGGTACCCGGTGGCACTGTGAACTTAAATTAAATAATTTAATAACCATTAAACCACCTTAAAGTTAATCCAAGAGGAGGAATACCCCCAGATTGTTTTTCATTTTCACTGTAACCTATGTTTCTTCCCCGTTTGTAACAGAAGTTCACCACTTTGTGAAGTCAACACCTCTAGAGGAGAGGGCGGCTAGGGTTTTGCATCTCAGATGCATCATTGCTCTACTTTTTGTTAAATAAGAACACGGAGTAAAATCAAACTAAGGAAAGAGAATTAAATAATTACCCAAACCCTACAAGCTAGTATACAAGAAACTAATTTAAATAAATTAATTATATTAACAGCTGGTTAGGTCACAATTGAAAGAGACACATTAAAATATATCTGAGGGGTGGGGAGGTGTTGTCTTTTTTTCCTTCTGATGAACAAAATGGGTCATTTCTTTCTATAGTCTAAGTTAAAATAAAGCAGCAATGTATAATTTCTGAAGGTTTATCACATTAAAGACCACTTTGATGTGACAAACTTGAGGAATTCTACCCCCCCCCCCAGCTAATGTAACCTCCATAAGATCACACCACCATTGTTTCAACCCTGGAAAACAGAGCCCACTTTCTCCCATTGATTTGCATTTTACTCTGCATCCCCCAGCTCCCCCCACCCTTTTTGTTCTTTTCAGGTCTTTGGATTTAGCTTTAGTTATGAGAGATTCAGAATAAAGCTAGTCAACCAAAGTCATCAAACATCTAACACAAACAATTAAATAATATCAATGTTCCATTGTAAGTTGTTTGTCTTGGCTGGATCCAAATGAAAGTAATTTCAAGTATAATGATGAATGATGATGTGGGATACTTTTGCTTACATTTCTGCACTTTGGTTTTCAGCATTACAATAAATAATAAAGACAAGGTACATTGTTAAAGTATCACATACATATTGCATGATGATTTGAAATTTATTTATTGTAACAGATTACAATATATATGCATTAAGCATGTCTGTACACACTTGCATGTACACAGTCTAGATACCTTTGGGCAATGTATGTGAATGTAAAGTCAACCATGAGGATCTCTGTTGAAAGATGTATCTAGATCTGTATACATCCAAGCCTGCAGACTGTATAAGTGTCAGACAAACTTATCTACCAAGATCTATGTTATGTAAAACACCTGCTGCTAAAAATAGAGCCAAATAGATGAATTCCATGGAATGACCAAACCTATGGTGATATTTTTTTCTTACATACATTTTTCTCCAGTAAAAAATTATGAACTGGTTTATAGCAATCAACCTAACTCAAAGCCTACAGAGGTAGAGCCTAGACTCTACCTTTCACTTCCCTACAACTGATAGTCACTTGGGTAACTGAGGTTGATGAGTATTTAATGTCCTGTGGACTCACCGCATGACCCCTGGGCCTTAGTGAAAAGTTTTGCGTCTGTCTATGTATATGAGATCTCATATTATTTTAAGAATTAGTTTTTTTTGTATCCTAAGTACTTAGGACTTTCTAAAACAGACCAATCAACTACCTACACTTGCCCCCTACCTTGCAAAGAAACAAAGTGTAGATAGAAATTAGGAATTAGGACATCTATAGTTCAAGTCACCACCTGGGGTACTGCTCTTCTTAAGTGGAAATTTATTTTGTCTTATTTTACAGCTGGACTTTCTGGTTAGCCAACCATACAGAACTGCTAAGCTATCTAGTTTTGCAAATAACCATCAGAAAGGCTCAAGCCCTTCTTCCACTTCCCACTCAGTGGGTGAAGCCAGCAAGTCTGAATCAGAGCATCAACAGAACAGTAAACAGTCAGCTCTGATTGGGTAGGAATCTAGAAGAGGTGTTGTCAATGTAGTGTCTGGATCATATGGTCAGCATTAACCACAGCTACTATCTACTTTCCCCAGTTTTGAATAGACTCTATTATTCTTTAACAACCTTGGAACTTGGTAGATTCTGAAAAATTTCAATTAGACAAGCTCCTGAAGACCCATTTCCTCCAAATGTGAATCTCCATGATATTTTGATAGTATCAAACTAACAGACACATCCCTCGATATTTTTGAGAATGGGACAGTTCCTCTCTGTACCTACCAAATAGTGCCTATTTGTTTAAAAATCTACTCAATTTTAATTTACTGGCACTAAAACATGGATGCACAACATGGACAGTATCTGATGATTTAAAATTAAATTATTAATATTTGGCTCAAAAACTGACTGCTTGCCGTGTGTGTGTGTGTGTGTGTGTATGTGTGTGTGTCTGTCTGTCTGTCTGTCTGTCTGTTGGTTTAACTTCCTTTGCTTTAGCTTGAAGTGGAAATGAGATTGGATTTCCAAAGCAGAAACTGCCAAGAGCTTTTGGAAAAACAGGAGCTGGGTATGCAATTCTGATCTTTCTTCCAGGTCAGACTAGCCTGTATTACTATGTGGCACAAACTAAATGCTCTATAATATTATGGGGAATTTTTTAAATACTGGAATCAAATTTTATTATTATTTTTGTCATCCTTTAAAAAATAAATATATTGGCTCTCTTTTAGAAGAATTCTGGGAATGAAGGAATTGAATCTCCATTATTAAAATCACACTGAAAACAAAACAAAACAAAAGCTTAGTTATGCAAAAGCTTAAAGAAAAACACTTTCACTCAGTAGTTTTTAGCATTTGGATTTCTGTCACCCCAAGAATGTATAATTGGGTTATGAACTATGACTTTATAGTGTCCAGCTGTTGCTGATGGCGGAGGCAGCCTGGAACTTTTCTTGGATTAAGGATGTGGATTCTAGGCTATATCCAAGTTCAAATGATTATTTTATTTGAAAGTATTAACTTAAAATAAAAAATTTAAAGCTTTGGGAAAAAACACTGAATTAAATTCTATAACCTTTCAGTATAGTACTTTTCTTCTTTCAGCTATATAGCAAAATGATACTTAAAATTTTGACACACATGTGCACAGACACATGTACATATACGTGTGTGTATAAATAACCTTTTTAAAGCAAGCATTCTCTTTGATATGATCTGAGATATGTGAGACATTTATCAAGAGTTCTTGGAAGGAAATTCTTTCCTTTTTTCTTCATGCCATTCTCTTCCAAGGATGTAGAGACCCAAATGCTGTTAATTAGTGTGTCTGTCACCAACCAAAACAAGATACTTGGTTCCTCAGTCTGTATTCAAGGAGAACCACTATTCCTATTGGCCACAAGTCACAAGGACACATTTAGTGTTTATCCAAGTTAAAATTTACCTGGCCAAGATGCAATAGGAGTGATTTCTGGAAGAAATATGCCTTTCTCTTGGTCATTTGACCAAGGGTCCATGGTATAAGCAAGGGACAAAGGGAAACAAGGGAAAAGTGAAAACCATTCCCTAGGCAGGACAGATTACAGAGTCACACAGAGCTACATTCTCTCAGCTCTAGAAGTGATGTCCTGTACACAGGACAGCCCACACTGGTCTAGAAATGATGCCCTGTACACAGGACAGCCCACACTGGTCTAGAAATGATGCCCTGTACACAGGATAGCCCACACTGGGCAAGTAAAGAGATAGTACAATGAATGATGTGACTCTCCAGGGACAGGACTCTGGGACTATCCTCACAGTCTGCTGTATGTCCTTCCTCCAGAATTGAGCTACATTCCCCCCAAGAACCCTGTTCTACCCCAGTGGCAGCTATGATTTCAATACAAATTTGTAATTACTACCCTGAGGACACCTGATCAACCTATTACAATAGGAGCTGGACTTCCCCATGAGAATTCCCTAGTAGGTCTGCTCACTTAGAAGAATCTAGACTACCCTGATGGATAGGGCATCTACTAGATTTCTGGGTGCTCTACTCTACAGCGAATGGAGCACTAAGCATTCCTGGCAATGATAGAAGATGAATTCCCCCATTGCTAGCAGCAGCAGCAGCAGCTCTGAGTTAATCTGGTGGAGAAACCTTGCTTATCATGGTTGAGGCATAGAATAGAGATGACTAAATACAAATAAAACCCATTTATATCATGAATCCATTCATCAGCAGGTTACATGTAGAAGTGCTTAACCTTTCCCATAAATTGACATAGGAATGTGAATACTGCCAGACAAGCATGGTGGCAAATTAACTCTGAGATGACATGAGAAATGAGAAACTCAGTGAATGGAGTATATGACAAAAAGATGGCATGAATTTAGACAGGAAAAATTTTGGGTTGTCACCAATGCAGGTTGGTCTATATATGTACTCATACATTTAATATATATATATATTTATATCTTTCTTTAGAAATGCAACTTTACAGCTGATTTTTTTTAAAAAGCTAATAGAAAAGTAGAAACTGGCAATTCTTTTTACATGTTTCCCCACCCCCAAATGAAGCCCTGTTACTATGTGGCAATCACATGAAGATGAGGTTGTAAATTTCTCTATAAATTCTTTGGTTCTGTGGCTCTGGAGAAGACATATCACCCAGACTTCTACCCCTGACCCTTGTTCCCCCTCCCCTTCCCTAATGATGAGACTCTGAACATAGAAGCAACCAAGTCTAAGGGTTAAGTAAGGAACATTCAAGTGACAATAGTATTTCCCATACTCTGCTGAAGAGAGAGGGGAACATCGTTCAGTATCCCAACATCTCAAATTTGGAGTTCATGGAACCTTTGGGGGATTCCATGTGAAATAAAAAGCCATAGAACAAAACTAAAGGGAAGCAATGAAATCAAACAGATGACCCTTTCCTTTTGTTGCTCAAAGAAACAAAATCAATTACCTTTGTACAGACCAACGGCGCTATTAAGTATTTTAGCCAGGCAAAAGAAGGTAATGAACTGAGACAAAAGGTGTGAGAATCCTCATCTTTGGTATTGTAGCTGTTGAGGTTTCTGTTGCTCTGTTCCATGTTCTTTTGAAAAACTGCATAGGCACAAATTAAAGACAATCTTCAACTTTAAGATTACCGAGTGAGTTGTCAAAAGAAGCAGCAGCCACGGAGGCTCTTCTGTATTTTGATTCTTGTCTCAACCCTTTCTTTCAAATCTGCTTCCAAAAAAAAAATGTCCCAAGAGGTCTGTTTGAACACAGTGTGTCTTCGGTGTTTTTTGGTTTTTTGGTTTTGTTTTGTTTTGATTCTAGCGTGCTTTCCTTGGTGGTGATTTCCAGTGATTGGTGGAATCATTTACTCAGTTAATGGGACAGTTCTGTTTGTTGCAGAAGTAGGTGCAGAAAAAGTTTCTTTGGTTTCAATTAAGTAATTCATACAAAAGTCAGTCTTAAGTGTCTGTAAAGAATCATTGCAGTGTTTGGCTTCCTTTGAACACCCCACGGTGCCCACCTGGGGCCATTCACTGGTAAATATGCACATAGTGACCTTTGTAATCTCCCAGAGTTCTGTGGGCCCTTTTCTACTCGCTATGGGAAAATGACAACCAGAGCTGGCATGGTGAAGCCACTGTCTGGATGCTTGGCGAATGTCATCGACATAGCTGGTTTGCTCGGCCAGATGGTGAGCCCACGTCAAGAGCCGAATGCCACTCGGAGTTACAGAGGTGTTCTGATCTCTAAAAGTAATCACAGTATTTGTAGGCTAGAAAATGGCAGGTAATAAATGTCTTTGGTTTGCAGTATTTTCTGCTTCTTTGGTGTGCTGTGTTCTCTCCAGATTCAGTCGACTGTCTTATGAGGATGAGTCAAGGATGAAAGAGAGTTAGGAAGAGGTGACAGGATGTGGCTTATTAAACTGTTTCTTTCTAGAAAACAATAGAAACACCCCAACTAATGGGATGGGCTAGGAATAACACAAATCAGCAAGAGTGAGAATGAACCCAATGGTAGCCCTAATGCACATAGGAGGAACTGGGTGGCTAGTATATCAAGGACATGGTAATGATCTAAAAAAATCTAGATCTTTTTAGGTGATGCATTTGCTCCTGTACTATTAACAGTTAAGTTGGCCTCCTGAGTGTGCATCTGCGTTATGTACAAACAGAATTTGTAACAAACTGCAAAATGTGCTTGAAGCCATATTCCCAATGATTCCCTAATGACTTCACAACAGTGAAGACAGATGATAACCGCCTTGTCAAACTGGATGCATTGAAACCAGAACCTTCCTTATTTCTCTTTTATCTTCGTTGTGCTTGATACTTTGAGCTCAAGTGAACTGATTTGTTTTTCCCCCGACGGATCCAAAAGACCACATAAGATTTCCAGGAGGTAAGGAAAGGAAAATCGTAAAGTGAAATCAACTTGAAGCTTTCTAAACTATCCAGTGAAAAGATGCCTGAGTTGGAAAAAAACAGGTCCTTGGATTTTTATTGATTTTCATATTTAAAACTTGTGCTCAATAATTACCATTCTGATTTTTTTTGTAATGTTATGGCTGAGAATTTTAGCGTATTGTGTTATAAAGAAGCTAAGCACTTGGGAAGCAAATGAGGTCTTCCTTGTTGTTAAATTCTTTTTTTAACGTAGTGTCTTGGAATCCTAAACTGTTTGTCTTTATTCAGGCCAAATTTTCACTATTACTCATGGGCAACAAGTACAAGAGGATGACTGGGCCTGGATGGGACTGTTGACTCTTACAGCAATACTGAGCTTGGTTGACACCATGCTGTAATTCACTCACTCCAAGAAGGCCCCATTTGGATCTCTGGGATGCCTAGCATGCTCAGAGGCTAGTGTCTGGTTCAGAGAGATTAATTTTCAGCGTGCACTTGGACTCCATAGCCATTTAAAACAAAACCAAACAAAATGAACACCTGGCCTATGATTACAGCTAGAATAGAAGTTTCAAGAGAATTGTGCTTTCAAGTCACCAGTGAAGGGCCCCAGCTAAGACTCTGATGTCTTTGTGATATCTTTGTTTTGCTTTTTTTTTTTTTTTTTTTTTTTTGGTATCTGTTGTCCTCATTGGAGGTGACTTGTGCCCAGGTGAGAGTCCTTGAATCATGCTTTGGTACAAGTGCTGGAGGTGGATGAGGAGCCCCCCGTGCTTAGGTCATCTTGCCATTTCTCCAGGCTGCGGCGCCGGGCATTCATGAAGAAGTTACTGACAGTAGTCAGCTCCAGGCCAAGTTGCTGGGAGATGGTGATCTGCATTTCCTTCGAAGGGCGTTTGTTCTCTTTGAAGATGGCGAAGAGCGTTCGGCGTTGGAGGTCCGTGAACACCAGGCGGGATTTCTTCTGGGAATTGTTCCTGTCTTTGTTAGGTTCTTGCTCTTTACGTTTGCACGCTTGAGGGAAAGAAAAGAAAAGAAAAAGGGAAAGGAGTCAGTGGAAGTGTGAGGACCCAACAGGAAGGTGAACCACTGAAAACATTGACAAAAGTCGTATAGGGGATGGAAACTGTTAAGCTTTATTGTGTAGATTGCCCAACTGTCAATAGCAAACCAACCCAGCTCATCTTGGTGATGGAAGGGCTCAGTGAACAAAAAGGGTGTGGGAGCAAGGAGAGCCAGGGCTGCTTTGCAGTATGGTTTGGATATGATTCAACTTGTTTTTCTCTTTTATTCCCATTCCTCTGAACGTCTCTCTCTCTCTCTCTCCTCTCTCTCTCTCTCTCTCTCTCTCTCTCTCTCTCTCTCTCTCTCTCTCTCTCTCTCTCTCTCTCTCTTTCACCTCTCTCTCTCTTCTCTCTCTCTCTCTCTGAAGTCGGTTGTGGTGAGGACAGTGAAGAAGCCCAGCACCAGGGGAGAGCTGGTGAGGGGTGTTCTTTGCCCATTCACCCTCTGGAACTGTTCTCAGTTAAGCTGAACTCACTTCTGAAGTTAAAGCTCACGCCTCCAAACACACAAACAAAGCTTCAGTTCGCACAACTCCAAAAATTATAAACAGAATGAAAGACAAGGTGAAAGCATCCTGACCCAAATGCTGTCCATCCAGACATTTAAAAAGCAAAACAACAATGACAACAAAAAATCATGGGCAAATATCGCTTTAGCCAGCTCTGTTCTGGTCACTTTAAAGTGAAGTCAATATAGGAAAACAGGTGTGTGTTTGTTTAAGTGGAGGAGGTTAGGTGTAGGAAATAATCCAACGTTGCAATGACAACCTTTAGGGTCCTAAATATGTCTATTACCATATGCTTTGATTTAGTAGATGTGAAAAGCTACGTGTGAATAACATATGTGGACAGGACATTGTTTTACCCATCAGCACCTCTCCCTTAGTCTGCAACTTCTTAGAAGACAGTGACCAATTGTGTCTGATATTTCTAACTTACTCTTTGGAGCAGAGATGTAGGTTATATTTGGCACAGTGGTGACAAATGGCATCTTGACTCAGGGAATTGGGTTCTTCCCTCTGAAACGTTCCAAACTTTCTGCACGGCTCTCAAGATTATTATATTCCAAGCTTCTGATGAACATCTCACTGAGCTCTCAGCACTCGGTTAATTTTCTAGCCCAAAGTTCCAAAGTCTTCCCACAATCCCTGCCCCCCAAGCATAATCTTAATCTTATCAATAAAAACCAAGAGTCAGATATCAGGGTAAATGCTGAAAGATCAGAGAAGCAAAAGAGCAGCCATATTCACTTTTTACCTGTCTGAATCCTGAGATTGAAGGGGTCAAGATCCTATCTACGCCCAGCCTTATCACTTCCTGTCTCCGCCCCATGTTGTCACTTCCTGTCTCTACAGAAGTCGTACAGACCTCCAGACCTATACGATTAACTAGTGGCTAATTCCACCCTCTGATCTCCAGGCAAGCTTTATTTGTCAAAACACAAACAAAATATCACCACACCCAAATCAACATGGTAAGGCCTGTCACAGCAATATCCCACTCCTGATACCAATTTGTCTTAGGCAGTGTTCTACTGCTGTGATAAACTTGGGAAGGAAAGAGTTTCATTCCACAAACAGTTCCATCAAAACCAGTGAGGATAGGAACTGAAGCAGGGTGGGAACCTGGAGGCAGGATCTGGTGCAGAGGCCATGGAGGGGCGCTTCTTAGTGGCTTGCTCTTCATGGCTTGCTCAACATGCTTTCTTATAGCACCTAGGACCACCAGTCCAGAGATGGTTCTACCTACAATGGGTTGAGTCCTCCCCATCAATCACTAATCAAGAAAATGCCTTACAGCCAGATCCTATGGAGGCATTTTTCTCAATTGAGGTTCCTTCCTTTCAGATAACTCTTGCTCGTGTCAAGTTGATATAGAACTATCCAGCACACATGGCTCTAAAAAATTGACCTACAAGGGCTAAATAAAGCAATTCATACAAGTCACAATGTTGAGACATAAAAACACAGGTTACCATGACTTGAAAGAGTTTCAAGCTTCCCAGGAGTGTTGCATAGCCTCAACAGTGTTACTTGGAGAAAGACAGGGAAGACAAGGTCGGGCAGCCTCCTCTACAGCCAAATTCCATTAGGTACCTCACCCTGGGGATGGGAATCAGTGCTGCTGAGTGGCGAGCTGATGTCTTTCTGCACTTCTCAAAATGCTGATGTATAAGTGTGCCTAGACCTTAGTTCAGGTATTCTTGCTTGTGCAACATTCTTGAAGAGTTTAGGCTCTGCTGTTATGTAGATATTTATATCTTATAGACTTTTTACCAAATTCATATGCTGAGATCCTAGTCAAGGGCAACATTAGGAGGGTGGGGCTTGGGGGAGGTTACTAGTGCACGAGGGCGGGGCCTTTGTAACTAGTGCCTTCATAGCAATGTTAGTGGATGCCTTCCAATTGTGGGAGGATGCACTGCAATACTGTCATCTGTGAACCAGAAAGCAGGCCCTTGATTTTTCCCTTTCCAGACTCCAGAACTGAGAAAAATGAACTCCTGTTGTTTACAATATAGCTCATGATATTTTGCCATAACAGCTGGAATGGACTTGAAGAGGATTTAACTCACGGACAACGCTCATAGGGAAAATGCTCTGGAAACTGAACCTTCTCTCACCTAACTCACAGATGCTATCTATGCTCCATGCAGAAACAAAGAGGACTCACTCCAGAAGTTAACAAGATGTGAACCCTCCAAGGGCTACAGGAGTCGAGGGACCTCTGATGGGGCATGGCAGTTCTGGTAAACAATTTCTTCCTGACTTTTCCTTCTCTCACTAAGAATAAAAAAGGAGAAGGAGAAGGAAGAGAAGGGAAACAAACAAAAAGAAACAAAGAAAATGAGCCATCTTATCTTCTGAAAGTAAATATCTTCACCCAAGAACTTCTGTCTTGGAAGGTTTAGCATTTTCTCACGAGGGGAGGTTCCCTGGCAATGTGATTCCAGACAGCAGTTACTGAGACTTCCTGCCATGCCACCCTTGGATAGTTTCCTCCTTGTTCACTCACACTCCTGCCCACGCCACCAGGTTCTCATGGCTTGTTGGATTGTGTGGGTTCCTGTCTGGCTGACATAAGCGCATATTGAGACTCTTGTGTCGTGTTTCAGTCATCTATCAATGTGATTCCGAACTTCAGGGTGTGCAGGAACCCTCCGAAGAGCATTTTACCAACAGATGTGGACGCAGCCCAGCTCAGGGGCCCGAGATTCTGTGTTATTCATTAGCTTCTAGGTGATGCTGTCCGCAGTGGTCCACATGCCTCAGTCTGAATTACTTGTTTTCTAAAATCTCCCAGGAGTACCTGCTACACAGAAAGCTCTGTGGCTAGAGGTGCCTGGGTTCAAATTTTTGACCCCCACTTCTAAGACATGGGATCTCAGAGTACTTAACCTTTCGGGTTCTGTATTCCAGAGCCAAATAAGGAAATCACAGTGCCCATCTCCATGCATTGGATTTCCCCAGCAACTCGGAGCGAGACATATCAGGCAGCATGATTGTCATCTTAAAAGGAAATAAGTAGACACTTTGATGATGAAAGTAATGATCCTGAGGCTAAGCTTCCTCCTTCCCTCCCAGAGAACAGCACCTGTTGCAGGAGAGGGGCCTCTATGCAGGGCAGTACTTAGTCCTCTCTAGAGATTCTGTGGATATCCCCCATAGGTTCTTCTGAGATGTGGGAAACAATGTACCAGGCAACATGCTGCCACTTCAGGTCCTCAGACCGCAGCCCTGCCCCAACCTCCTGGGGTGGAGCCTTCATCTGGAGGATTCTTTTTTTTTCCTTATTTAATTTTTTCAATTTAAAAAATTTAGTTTTCATTTTCCTTACCAACCCCAGTTTCCCTTCCTTCCCCTTCCCCTGTCACCCCAATTTTCCCCCTTCCCATCCTCCTTTCCCACCCCATATCCACTCAGAGGGGGTAAGGCATTCTTTAGAGAATCAACAAAGTCTGGCATACCAAGGTGAGGCAGGATCAAACCCCTCCCCCCTGTATCAAGGTGGAGCAGGGTGTCCTACCACAGGGAATGGGCTCATCTGGGGGATTCTTAACAAATAGCGATGCACAGTTATCACCTGGTAAAATCTGAGCAAATACCTTCTGTAAACACTGGCTGAAGTCCTCTGTCAACTCACCCTCCTCTGGATTAGTCGCCTAGCCCTCAATTTTCATACCAATATTGATCACCTGTCAGATAAGCCTCTGTTTGTGTTTTTAGCATGGTGATTACACTGGGTAGAAGAAGCCCACACTGGTTTGTCAGATTATATTTGGTGAGATACAGACAGATACGATAGTTATTAGATTTAGATACTTAGAAAAATATTAAATGCTTTATATGTTCAACACTGCAGAGAAATAATAGATCGATACTTTCTTCCTATGCCTTTCCAATTGCTTTCTAAAGTTACCAGACTACAGATCAGCACATGCAATGCTACAGTCGATGTACACCAAGTGAAGAAGGCCAAAATAATGATGGAGTAGGACTTAACTTGTTCAGATTATGATTAGCTGGAAGTTGGCATCTCATGAGTTTTACTCATAAAGTCAGCTGGTCAATGGTCCAGGTGTGGAGAACATGTATCTGTGGAGTACTCACCCATAAATGGGACATCTATTGTGGCCCTCCCACCCAAGGGTCGGGAAACATAGTAGAAACATTCTCTAAGAGCCAGACCTTGGGAAGGACTGGGCAAAACAGTGTCTTTGGACTCAGAAGACCACTGTCCTCATGAACTCACAAAAGCTGTAGATGCCTGCACAAGCTCAAGCCAGTTAACATGCCAGCATAGCTGAGAGAAGGGCTTTCGAGTCCCATCCTAAGCTGAAGAGCTGTGGACAGTTGATGGCTGGCAAGATAAAAAGTCAATAAAATGATTCCTAATGATATTCTGCTGTACTCATAGATTGGTGCCTAGCCCAATTGTCATCAGAGAAGC